ATGTTCTTCTTTTGCTTATTTAATCCTCCCTTTGGGTTTTAAACGATGTATGGCATTTAGCGGAGAGAAGAAGCTAAGTACATGATAGAAGATAAGAGTCTCATATTTCTTCCGCGTCTTCCTGTAAAAGTACATATATACCATCTCTTGCGTAATTTGTGTGTGTAATATGACTCGTATATCCTAGAAGAATTTTTGCGATGATAAATAAATCTTCAGACATCGAAGAGTATCATAAGATACTAGAAGGTTTAGGGAGGACGTTAATTCGATATAAAGACTCGTTTTTGAAGTTCTCTTCAGAGGAGTTAATATTTTAAGGACATAAATATTTTCATGAAGTCGAGTCATGAACGTTTTGACATTTAATATAGAGAAAGAGAAAACGTTTAACATCCGTATTACATTTTCTATTTCTAGGACGGTCGAAAATAATTTTTTCCTATGTAGTCAAAGTCAAGTTCTTTATTAATATTGATGCAGAGTAAATGAAATTATTTAACCACTAATAAAAACTCTCCCTTTAGACAATTACTTTCAGTGCTATCGCATCGTGAAGCTAAGCGCGCGAGCATTTAAGTGAATTCTAATAATTTTAATTTTCTTGTAAATATTAAAAAACATTTCGTTGGATTTAAATCATATTTTCTAGTCGAACTGTATCATCGCTATTTTATACCGCAACGTATCGTTTTGGAAAAAGATAAAAAAAGAGAAATAACGTAAATGAATTATCTCCATAGCGACAGGTAACAAAAGAGAACAGAAAAAAATACGAAGGAAGAAAGAGAGAGCGACGTGAAATTCTCGGCAAATACGCCATGCGCTCCGTTAACAAAAATAACCGAATCATTGTAGTTCCAGCCGTGACTCGATCGTCATGAGGCACCGCTGCACTGCAATTGTCGTCCATTATCTTCCACTGCTCCATTATCTTTCGCGTTCGAACCGGCTATCCATCTGAATTGTTGGGCAAATTGTCACGAATCTAAATATGCATGACCGACGTGGAAAGCTTGGCAAATAGTCGCTTACGTCAAATACACTTTTGCCAGTTCAAATACTAGAACGGAAGAAATTAAAATATTTGATTCTTTTCTATGACAAGAATAGGAGATCCGTACGCGTATCGGGTCCCATTAAACGAATCGTTGTTTACAGTTAAGTTGCATAACCGAGATTATTTTATCAGTGCTCTTTATCTATCGATATTTCAATTAATTATCGATCTATCGCATTAATTACCATCAATTTAATCGTGGATTCAGTATCGTGCCAATTAATTCTATTAAATATTCTCCCGTTGATTATACCCACCGTGCGCTTTACGAAACAAGCTGGTTAAGTACATATGTATGCACGTGGATAATCCTGAAAATGCAAGAGAACAGGAAGGAAGGGATGAATTATTATTAAAGTTAATATAGACGTTAGGGAGCGTATCTCGATGAAGAAATTAAATTTAGTATTAAACTTGAGAAAGTGTTTTTCCATTAAACGAGAAAATCCACTCGAAAAGCACGCTCTCTGGGTTGGTCGAATAATCGAAGTTCTACTGTAGTTTACATTTCATTCCTGGTCGACAAAAGATGATCTGTGCCTTTAGTAGGTATATATGTAACTTCGTATGTACTATGCAGTTATATTCGGTCGATACTCTCGTTCAAGAAGAGAACATTATTTCTCATTTTCAAAGAATAATCTCATCGTTCGTTCAGTTTTCGATCACGTCCAACCGATTAAATAATATCGATCGTATACAATTGATATTATCCTATACTGTTAAACGAGTTTGTTGTTTTGTATTACATGTATTTATATATTTGTCGATTTTATCTTAAAAATATGGCAAAGAATTTTTCTGAAATTGGATGAATCTACCATTTTCGGATACGAGAAAATAATTTAGGTAGATCTGAACTTCAGGAAAATTCATTCGGGGAATTGCATAACCATATAAAATATGAATGATTTTTTTCATTTTACACGTAGCGTAAAATGAAAGTGTAGCTCTGCGAACTTCACAATGCGCGGTATGATATTTGTCGAATTTCACTTCTTTAATTTCTTAGCGGCAAAGTTATAAATGTGAACGTTAAAAAGCGATTCTCATAGTAAATAATTATAAAATCATGTATTTTTTATTAATTGAATGATTCGTGATTCGTGATTCATGTTCCATATTCCTTATTCTGTGATTAGTAATTTTTTATTATTTAATGTAAACTTTTTATTTGAGAACAATTTATAGTTATATAAACCTATAATATTTATATCCCTTGATCAACGTAAACTTTGTTATTAAATGAAATTGCAAAATCATTTATTATAAAATTGATGGAAATTCACTTTCCGCAAAGTTTAATAAACTACTGTCGTAAAAAGTGTGATCATCGCAGCATACTAACACTATCTACTCTAACCCACACTAAGATTGTTAGGTTACGAGTGAGGAAGCTATAATCTACATAAGCTTATACGCCGATACAATAGGCGCATGGTTAGGATAGCATTCCCCTGTTGCGCTTGTAGTTCATATTTTGTCCATACCTGTCGCTGAATGGTTTAAGCAAAAGGTGTTGAACAATGTTAATATATTTTATTATTTTACAACAATAATTGGCATAGAACAACAAATTTCACGAATCTAAGATTCTTGATGAATTGTAACAAATCTATTGTTTTTCGTCGTAACAAAGCGATTTAAGTAAATCACGACTTTGAAAAAATTCAATTGAACAACCAGATAGAATATAAATAATTTTATTATTTACAAATTAAAATTGAAGTGGTGATATTCGTCGAATTTTATATGACTTAATTTTCATTAAAATTTATTTAGTTAGAAGAAAGATATGTCAATATTTCAATTTTAATAACCATTGAAAAAAGAACAAGTATGAAATGTTGTACGTTGCCTTTTTCCGAGTCAAGAGACGCAGCAATTTGGAAATATATGGAACTCAGCTACGAAGAAAGCAGACACAAGTAGTGTAAGTTACATGAACAGCACGGAAAAGCCGTATAGCTATATACGGCTATATAGCACGGATAGTTACAGAAAAAATTTTTTATGCTCTCATCCTCCTTTACCGAGCGAACATTGCCCGGACTTTTAGATATTATTAATTTTAATGCGGTAATCCCGACTCGATATTTATATAAAAAATACAAGTAGGTATTTTTAGTAATACATTTTTAATTAATTTCGCTCGAAACTTATTCTATTAGATATATAAAATCTTTTACGATAAACTTTAATATAATGAAGTATTTATAAATTGGAAATGGAAAATAAACATTTCCTGTTACATATATAAGTAATTAAAATCTAACTGTACTATCAAATTATTAGAGTGTAATATCTGCATCTTTCATTTTCATATCGTTAGATGCGGGAAAAGACCAAAGATATACAAATGTAAACAACGGTGTAGTTCGACTAATTGGACCCAAGCCATGCGCATAATAATTTCGTGATGCTTCATGATGCAACAATCACGAATCTGTTACCAATTATTTCTCTATTCGTCCACATATGCGTTATTGCAAGTGCGATTTCCTGGATTACTAAACTTCTGATGCAGCAATATTAAATTACAGAAACTGGATTTGGAATATGTGTTCATTCTGTTTTCGTATTAAATCGATCGTTGAAATAACGTGATGTCTCTCTTTCCTCTAAAATAAGAATATTTATACCGTGATAAAATATAAAATGAGAAATATTGTTTCAAAGAAAAGAGGGGAAACGCTGAGTGATAGATTAATACTTTGAGCCTGGAATTATCTGAATATCTCGTTATCCCTCGTCGGATGGTATTAAAGGATGCGGTAAAATTAATGGCTCGACCGTTTTTTACCTTGGAAATTGGCAAATCAACAGGAAAATTTCTGTAGTACGTTTTTAGAAAATATTAATCTTTTTAATATTCAACGTTTATCTATATATTACAAATGGAATCGGAGTTCATATATAATGAATATTACATGGAAACACAAGCGCAAATATTTATATAATAAAATATACTGAAATCGTTGTAAAAACAAATAGGAAAAACGTGATAATCGAATGGCAACGATAATTTTCACTTTAAACGCTTCGTCAAAAAAAAAAAAAAAAAAAAAAAAAGAGGAAAAAAAAGAGAGAGAAAAAAAAACGTTCGCAATTTCATGTTTCCCTTTGACAAGAAAGAACAAGCCGAGTCTCGATACAACAATAAAATCGCTAACTTGCAGTTAATTATCTCGGACTTTCCCAGGTATGCACGTGGAACGTACGTGAACACGAAAAATAAATCGTTCGCGACATCTCTACCATTATGTCGTATAGATAATTGGAACGCACCGACAAGAAGAATCGTGTCGCGGGTACAATTTGCAGAATACTTGGACTATCTTTTACCTTGGCAAGTTTCTATCGTGATGTTTCCGCGTGTATGTTTCGTGTATCTAGATATGTACTGTACATATATATATATATAAATATATATATATATATCTATATATATATATATATATCTATATATATATATATATATATCTATATGTATATGTATATATAGGTATGTATATATAGGTATGTATATGTAGGTGTATACGTTGAGCACGCAAAAAGGAAAAGTCACATCTTCACTCGCGGACCTTCGCACATCCGCCAACGTGTAAGCGTTTACGTGTGAATCAATGTAACCGCGAGAGATACAGATTATGACGGATAGTCGTAGCCGCAGTGCCGAGTACTTAGCCCGATGCCATTACTGCGCGTTCATTTTTCAAGCCGTATTCTCTGGCCATATCGTTACGCTCGGTAAAGTACACACTCTTTTTCGTGGGTAGAACCGAATTAAGTATGATATCGTTGAGGAAAGAGATTGCGAGTGAAGGAGAAAAAGAGAAAAAGAGAGACAGAGAGAGAGAGAGAGAGAGAGAGAGAGAGAAAATCTCTTTTGATATCGAGTGCATAAGCGAACTCTTTCGAAAGTCACGACGAGCGACCGTTCTCTTGGAACATATATTAATTCTTCGATACGGATACAGAGGAGAGAATGCCGCTTGCTGTTCGGCCAAACTTACTAAGATATGAGCGCTAAAGGAAAAAGAAAGATAATACAAAAAATGCAGTACAAGACAACTCCTCTTTCTTGTCTTGCTCTTATTTTCTTATCTTATTTACTTTATACCATTTTTTTTCTTCAATAATATCTTCTTCTAACAAGCGTGGAGCTTTCTAAGTCGTACGTTATCTTTATGTATTTTTTCTTTTACTTTTGTGAATGTACTTCGGAATAAAAATGATCTTATAATTTTATTGCAGATTTATAATAAGTTGTTTCATTTTTGTCATTTACCATCAATCAAAAAATTTTTTCTTTCTTGAAAAAAAATGACACGGAGAGGTCATTACTTCTTCTTGTTTTTTTTTTTTCTTTTTTTTTTCAGTAATAAAACATCGAAATGTCAAAGTGCGGTTTTCGTAGAAAAAAGATAACCGGAACGCGTGTGGTACGATTGTCAAAGAAGAGAAGCTTTCGGAACGCGGTTGTTACCGGCGTCATTATAATTACCGCAAAACCATAACTGTGCGCTTGCGCCGCTCGTAACTAAGATTTAGATCGCGGATAAAGGATATAGAAGGCGTTACACGGCACGTAATAACGCCTAGTGGTAACCCACTCGTGATATTATACCGAATACTTCGTTCGCTTTCTCACGGGGATCTTGTCTTTCGCGAAGCTCGTTTCATTGCGGTTACGATTCCTCTCTCCCCATCCCTTTTTATTTCTCTCTCTTTCTCTCTCTCTCTCTCTCTCTCTTTCTTTCTCTCTACTATTTCTTCCTTCTTTCTTCTTTCTTCTTTCTTCTTTCTTGTCATAAGACAGAATTCGTTTCTTGAGAGATATTCGCAGTCCCATGAGTCCCTTCTCCTTTTTATCTTCTCTTCCTTGTCCATCGTTTGTTCATTGGAAAAGCACGTTTCTCTTCCATTCCGTCTTGAGTGTATCGAATATCGAACGATAAAGCATTCCTTTTGCATTCTATTGATTTTCTACTATGTGGTTATCCAAAACGAACATTGATTTTCGTTGAATCGTCAATCGTCTTTCCATTTCCGTGTAAATCTTGATATCTTACAATTAAATCTAAAATATGAAATGTACATACATAGATATAACTGCATTTAATGTGATAGCCTTGGAATAGGAAAATGATTTTCTTAGGATCGGAGATACCAAGAAGGAATATCATCAAGGAGGAAGAAAAGTTATCACAGAATTGTCGACGTAATGACGATTCCGTTGGATAAGTGTGTAACGTGACTTTTCTTTTTCGTTTGAAACTTCATCGTCAGAGACAGGTTTTTAGACATTTATCATTTTTACGAGGGTTGCCATATTCATACGGAAAGATAATGAAATTGCGTTTTCTTGTTTCTCTATATGTTTATTGAGATTCTTATAATGTTCATGAAGTGTATTCGTGATTAACAAATAGTTGATTTTTTATTATTCGGTACTTCCGACATAGAGTCGAAGTATCACACAGCCAGCGGCATAATAAATTCTTAGCACGATAAACCGAACTCCTTTCTTCGTCAACTTTAAGATCCCGTTCGTTTGAAAGCAGTATGCCATTGCAATCGCGTGAGTACTCGGATCAGGTGCACATGCGGGCTTCTAAAGTACGATGTTGAGAGAAAGAAAAAGAGAAAGAGAGAGAAAGAGAAAGGGAGAGAATACAAAAATGCAGCATAAGAAACTATATTTAACTCTATTTCGAACGTATTTATAACATAAACGAGAAATATTAAATCGCTACAAGGCAAACCTTTGCTTTTCATTATATTATTTAATAAATATTATAGATAACTTGTTATCAAAAGGATAAACGTTTTGTACTCACGCGATTACTAAGAAAGGAAGGAGAAGATTCAAAGTGGTTAGAAATGGCGGAACATTTCACGCGGTAAACTATGCGTGTAATATGCTGAATTATTTCAACCTCGGCGCCAACAAGTTCGTCCATGCAATGTCTGCACTTACAAAAGGAAAATTACAATGAGTCGAATTCTTTCCCAATTATTATATTAATATCCTTCGACATGTGTCATAGCTAGCATCCACCTCATTTTTAAACTTATCGATTTTATCATGGCGCATTACGAGCTATTTTCGTTTAACTTTAAATACATACATACCAACTTCAATTGACTCCATTCCTGATCACATTCAAATTGCTCCTTGAAAGTTAATGGAAATAAGATAAATTACTTGAATTGTGTAATAAGAATTCCAGAATAATAGTTGACATGTGATATATTATCGAGTCTTTATGTCGTTAATAGATATAAGGTTCGGTTCGAAAGGTTAATTTAATACGTCCCGTTGACAGTTATAAAGTCGTTTGAGCCTATTACATTGCTTCGGAAGTCGTAATGCTAAAAAAATGCAATTTTATGTGTATAAGATAGAAACTTATTGATAATTTAAAAGATTTTAAAGGTTAATCGATGGCCAATGAATAATGTGAATAGGAATAAGGGTTCATTTCCTTGGTCAAAATGATATTTTTATATTCCTATTTTCTTCATGAATATATATCGTCTCTATGAATATCACAGGGTAATCATTATATCTACCATAAGTAGAAGTTTATAATGCCATCATCGTGTTCTCTTAGACGTAAGTTTGATCCAAGGACGTGCTCCACCCGCGCGTGCGCCTAACAACAGTGTAATTCACTTTTCTCGACGAAGTGTATGTTCGTAGAAAATGTCAAATGTTTATGGTTAACGGTAATACGTGCTCGTACGATACTGCTACGAGAGAGAATAGATATTGTCGTTTCTTTGTACTCAAGGTGCTTCCACGACAAAGGTGCTACTGCCATCGCTGCTTACGACGCAACGTGTTTTACAGCACACGACTTCCTTGCATTCTGGTCATACTAGATATGCGCACGCGTTGCTTTGTTCCAGCACTGGAGAACACAAGATCTATTTAATCGTAGCTGGGGACCAGTAATTCTCGACACGGTAAACGTACCGTTGGTAATGTTGCCATGATGGTAACGAAGGATGTGTAGGTTTGCTTTCAACCAAAGGACGACAAGAATGAATCGCTTGTATTCATATATCTATTCTCATCAAATCATTCTAACAGATCTAGATTATCGTTGCATCGCAATTAAGAAAACAAATTATTTTATCTTATGACATCTCTTATTTTTTCACTTAGGTGTATCGTTCGTTCCTTTAAAAATGATTTATTTAGTGACGATTAATAAACACATCGATGTGTGATAATAGCCAGATGAATCGATCCTTTGGTTTGAATTACTTTTTAATATTTTAATTAATCGCAAATGTATAGCTCATCTCACGTTTTTGATTATCTCGTTCTCTTTATCGATATTATTCGATGCTCGCCATTCTGTCTTCATCGAAATCAATCTTCTTACAGTTGGAAAAATTAAAAAGAAGCGCGATCGACGATTTAACACATCATCGACTCGGCATGCGACGAGCAGCGTCCGAAATTCGGACCGCATGAATCAGCGTTCGATCGAAAGCGATCATTCGCCATCGATGAGCGGTCAGAAAGAATTCTTTTGTGGGCCAGCTGTTTCTTTCGACTCTTACAATCGTGTCACGGCTTTTATACCTTGGCAGATGTTATTCGTTTCACCGATCTTCGCTCTCAACCATTAAATGACTGTTTCGAACTTACCGAAGTGTATACGGAGTGCACTTACGTGCTTAGAAACTATCGCGAAATTGCATTTCAACGATCGTTTCGAAGCTCGTTATTAGCCATTAAGATTGTACCTGACATAGAAATTTCGAGACGGTATTCGTTGAATGTGCTGACGGTAAGTCACTTTCTATCACAGATTTTTCATTCGAAATAAAGTCAAGCTGTCGTTCGTTGTTGATGCCAATATGAAAGAGGCGATGAATAAATTTGAATAACCAAAAAGTAAAATGAACAAAATATTATTTTTTATACGATTCTCCATATTTTCATTCTAAATATATTGATTAATATTCAGAGATTTTTAAGCATGTATGTACATTCTTCATTCTTCATACGTCCTTTAAATTATATACGAGATCGAACTAAAGTAAAAGTTCGATGCTTGATTATATCGAACGATAACTTATCTATCGATCGGCAAGATGAGGCACGAGATTCCAATTGAACACACAATACTATGTGCCGGTACTTAATGCAAGACCGTTATATTACTCGCGATGCCAAATACGTCGGACAGGGACAAGCCGGTGCATTCAGGATAATATTCGAACTATCCAATATCTTGGCGCGTTAAACCAAACATATGGGCTGGCAAGAGAAGAAGAGACAGATAGAGATGATGTAAATGGAGGGCAATGGATGACATTTCTTGACGATCGATAAAAACCATTCCAATCGACGAACACTCCTTCACCTCGGGCACAATTGCTTTTCACGATTGATTCCTCTGTGAAACATAGATATCGACAAACTTCTTGTTCATTTATTTGTTGATCCACATGCCGTCGATTTTATAGCCTTAAGCTAATGGCTTTCTATGAAGCAAACATAGAAATCTATCTATCTATTCGTCTATTGATTTTTTTGCTTATATATTGTTATAGATACATATTTGTATTGTATAAATATAGCATTCATCTTTTCAGAATCAAGTAAAATGTGTGTGTGTGTGTGTGTGTGTGTGTGTGCGTGTGTGTATGTGTGCGCGCGCGCGTGAGTGTATATATATACATGAAAAAAATATTAAATCTTTATCAATTTTTAAATATATCTATCTGCAGGAGATGGCATAAAAATGCCTAATGAAAGATACGTATCTATATTTGATTCAATAATGATCGCAATTTACGACAATGCATATTACATAAGAACAGGAATATTCAGGAAACTCGTAGCAATTTTTTCAATGAAAATTCAAATCTAACATGTTTTATTCAACTTTATTTAAAAATGCATATAAAATAAATGGTAAATGTGTATTATCATTTGGGAGAAAAATTTTTCTTAATCAAAATTCTATACACAATGTGTAACATGAATAAAATCCTTTTATAATTATCCTTTTTCATATGTTCGCAGTTACATATTTTTCACGTATACATTAATGCCCCGAATAAGATATTAAAATGTCAACTATACTTGATATTAATATCGTAATTCGCAATCAATTTACATGATATCGTAAACATATTTGATATTTAAACGATATTTGCGGTATATCAAAATCTTGGCACGTAAATCTGAATAAGAGGACCAGGTCGAGCGCGACAGTAGATATGTATTTTTGCAAAAACGGAACGTCGTGTCGCATTTCAATGGGCAATCGTACGCCGGTAGTACGAGCAAGTAAATGGTTTCGCGAACAGAGCACTCTATTGTCCAAATAACAATCCAAGCGTGGAGTTTCCATTTAGGTTTCTCTATTTGGTGGCTGTTGAAATGTGAGGAAGTCAATCGGATTCCGTACGAATTTGTGGCAAAGTATCAATCGGTGAATAAACGAATTTTGAATGGTAGGTATATTTTGCGCGTATTGAAATTAAATTTTGGTCTTTAGCTTGAGAATTTCGTGCGCCGTTTAATTTCGCATGAAGGATGAAATTCGTTCGAGAATTGCTTTATAAAATATCGATTGAAAGTTTCGTTTTCTTTATAAACGAATAAATTTATCTTCAATCGGATTGAATCGATACCCGATTGATTGGCGAAATCGAAATTTTAACTTTTTCGAAATATTAACATTATTAACATTAAAAATGGCAGCGAAATTTTTTTATTTCTATAAAATTAAAATATTACTTCGAGCGCGCGGATATACACGTTGTAACATTTTAATTAATACCTATTGACGGAGATTAATAAGAACGGAAAGAAATCGTAAAAGTTCTTTACGTCAATGTGATATTAAGTAAAGTTATTATCGGATCGAAGGAAAAGGCAAAACGAGTATCACAACGTTTTCGTTATTAAGATTTCATAGAAGCGCTTTCTTATTCAAGCAACCCTCATTCAGCGAATACACGTCGCTCTAGAATTTACACTGTTCGTAATTCATTTCACTGTCGATAAATAACATTAATGACAATTGAATGATTCCGAGTTGGTGGGAGATAGAGAGGGAATTGAAAGAAATTTCGAAATGAAAGAGAGGGAAAACGAGGAAGGATACAGATACTCCGATAGTTTCTTATTTCTTCGTTCGTCCTTTCTAACGGCTTGACTCCATTCCTCCATAAATACGATGCAAACGCGTCCTTATATATCTTCAACGTAACGTTCTCTATTGTAGGTAGTTAAATAGATCTTGCAGAAAATTAGTTTCTTTCCATTTTCTTTTTATCCATTCTATCGCTTCGAATAATACGAACAAGCGTCTGAATATCGTATTGTTCTTCCATTTACGATCGACAATTGGAATTCTAATCTATGCTCTTGTACTTCTGTTTCGAATCATTAGATTTAAAAGCCACTGCATAATCATAATACTCTCAATTTGTATAAATAAACTCTTCTTATTTTTATTTTTTTAATAATCGTTACCTTTCTGTACGATCTATTGTATTGTATTTATTAGAAGATATATTGTTTTATGTTTTCTCGTACTATATCAGTGATTTAATCGTTGGTAGGTGATTAATTTCACAACATTTAATTAAAATACATAATTATCCAGAAAACACAAGGTTTCTCAAAAAGGTATTATATATAAAGGTAATATCGAAAGTATTATGAGTTTAATTATATCAAATAATAACATACTGGACTTCGATAAATCATTGATATTTAATTGAATAAAATACGATCGATAAAATAATATTACTCCCAAGAAAGTAAAGTAATTTTAAAGATAACAGAAAATATTAGGTGAGATAACTAAACCCGCATATAGGTCTCTCTTTTCCGAAGGGCGCGTCATCTATGATAAGCGTAACAGCTCATTGCCGTTAGAAAAGGAGGCGTGGAGTGGTTCGTCGTAAGCACGCGCACGTATCCCACGGACAGTAATTACGAGATCAAATAGAGTCCAGGATGGCGCCGAGGGTCGACTCGAAGCTACCAGGAGCGATTGTTCCTATTATCAATTACGGCTTTCACGCATGGCCTGCCGGCAGACATTCGAGCTGCCGTTGCTGCTGTTTCTACTGCCGTTGCTGCTACTGCAGCCAAGTAACGCTTGGTACGGTTGGTACCTTTGCCGAGATCGTAAAGTCAGTCCCATCCAGGCACGAGGATCACCAGGATGGTTACGGTGGCAATAATAGTAGTCGGCTCCGATCCGAGCAATGATTCCACATTGTTCTACAACAGCAATGAATGTCAGTTTGATCTCTCGCATTGCCGTGGTTCTCTCCTTTTCTCTCTGATACAGTGACACATTCTTAGAGACTTTCCTGAAAATCGATTTTCTTTACCTTCTACTGAACTGAGACTTCACCGAGATCATTTTCTTTTTTTGTATAGGATCCATTTTATAGGAAACATACAGAACTTGTAATTTACTGGCAGAAGAAAATGAATTCCTCGAGTTAAGAGATTGAGATTCGAAATAGATGCAAATTATTCGGCTCGTTTCTACCGGAAGACTTTCACTCTCTTTCTTTTTTTCGTTAAGGTGCGCTCATAAATTGACCGGTTTGTTACAACCTATCTTTCTAAGTGATAAATGTCAAACTGTGGAATCAGCTGAGAATTTATTAGGCGAAGTTTAAGACGGTTTATGTAACGGGAGTGAACCAGTAGTCCGACATTGATTTTTATAACTATTATAATATATATATATATATATATATATATATATTTTAAATAGATAAGATGATGGAGAGCAATACGAAACTATCTCTACTTTCCGTGATCCATTTCTACTAAGCGTATCTATTTCTAGGAGTTTAAGAAACTTCCTCTGGCTCTCTGTAAAGTACGTCGTATTAAGAAGTTCCTTCATCCACCAACTTACGTTCATACGACTTACATACACATACATATTTTCAGTGTCACGCGTCGTAAACGAGGTAGAACGGATAACGAAGTAGTCTCACCATCACCGTCATCCTACTCTAGGAATGTCAAGCCCGAGTCGTCTAAGGTAACATATGCTAGATAATCCCTATCCTTGGAACTTTCAGTTACTCGTGGTATCGTCACGCAACCGTGTTACCCGCCATCGATTACGAAGGTAGCTTTAACGTGATCATTTTTTCTTACTCATAATTGCGAAAAATCATAAAAGTTATGAACGTATAAATCCGAAAGATAAATTCGTATCATCGAATATTTATTCACGATGTAATATAATAAACTTGTACAGTCGATTTTGTAGACTTAAGAACAGATTGAAACAGATTTGTTATCAGATTGGAACAGATTTGTTATCAAATTATTTATTCATATATGATTAAACGTCATTTATATAGAATACGTCTATTAAACAAATGATTCGTAAGCGAAGCCTATTCGAAGTCTCGAGCACATTCCTTTTGACCGGTAGATATTTCGAAGAGATGAAGGAATGGGAGAAAAGGGTGGGAGTTCCTATAGGTGCGCTCATTTCCGCTACCCCTTAATGATCGTCCATTGTCCGTAAGCGTGCACTCCTAGATCGCCACTAGCGATTCGTCGATCGTCAACCGCTTCTTGCTCTTCGTTAACGATGCAAAGTTACCAGTCACGTTGGTAATGATACTGTAACATCATTGCCCCAAGGTAATGTCATGGATGGAACGAGCAAATGTTATCGACGGATATACATACATCGTGT